CTATTTCTTGCCATGGCTCACAGGCATGCTAGTACTTCCATAGCGCATTTGTGTAAAATTTTTAAAAAGTGTCGTCTATCGGTGGGTAAGTTGCAAAACAGCACCCTCCCTTCTGGGCAAACAAATTAGAATACGTACCCCCTTCTGGGCAGACAAATGAGAAAAGGGTAACCCCTCTGGGCTGACCAGTTATTATTTAAAGCGCCACTCCAGGTACACCTAAAACTAATATAATATTGTATGTCAACTATAATTGAAAAATAATTTTTAATTTAAAAATAAATAGAATAAAATAAATAAAAATAAAGGCCCTCTCAGGGCACATGGCTTGGCAAATCCACGTAGCCCCAGTGGCTCCCCTTGGGCATGCCCCCTTATGCAAAACACAACCTACATGACTGCATGTGGCACCCCTGCTTGCAGATACCACTTTCCTAATTTTGTAGTTAGACTATAGGGTTTGATCCTTGAGGCTCTAAATATATCTCTTCAGTCAAAGCAGTGCACCCCCACTTTAAATATAATGACCTATTACAAGAGCCTAGGGTTGACAAAATGCCGATGCAGCACCACATTTAAAAATGAAAGTTGGTGAGAAATTGTGCAGCAGACACCACGTGGACCCATATCACTTGGATGATTACATCTGAATGCCCAGGGCTGTTCACTGCAAACACCTGCCTCTCTCTGCCAAGGGTAATACTCTAACCTTGGGAACAGATAGGACATGGTAGATGGAAAGACAGAGAGTTAGAAGGTTGGTGCCCTTAGAAACAGTCTTCAACCAGTGCTGCTGGGCAGGGGTTGGGGAAACAATGGTGGGGCTCTCTACTGCATCTGTGAGCCTCCAGTCGGCTGAGCCCAGTTTCTGACCACAGGAATGCCTGATAACCCACCTATGATTGGTGTGAACCGGGACAGGTAAACTTCAAACTCCTAGCAATGTAGGGACAGTTTATATCAGATTCCTTTTCAGCAGCTAGAGCCACCTAGAGAAGAAGGGATGAGGAACAAGCATGTTTCAGAGAAAAGGGAGCTCTTCAGGAAGACAGGGACTTGCTGATATGCTATAGTGGAGGCCCCAGGCTGTCAGAGGCAGCCTGAGAGACCATGAGGCCTAGGATGTCATTCAAGGGTTTGCAAATTCTTTCTATAAAAGATAGTAAACAGCCCTAACCGGTTTGGCTCAGTGGATAGAGCGTCGGCCTGTGGACTGAAGGGTCCCAGGTTTGATTCCGGTCAAGGGCATGTATCTTGGTTGCGGGCACATCCCCAGTAGGGGGCACATCCCCAGTAGAGGGTGTGCAGGGAGCAGCTGATCGATGTTTCTCTCTCATCGATGTTTCTAACTCTCTATCCCTCTCCCTTCCTCTCTGTAAAAAATCAATAAAATATTTTTTTTAAAAAAAGATAGTAAACATTTTAAGATTCGTGGACTTCTGTCACAACTATTTGTCTGCTGTTGTAGTGTGAAAGCAACCATAGGCAATCTGTAAGCAGGGGAACATGACCATGTTCCAATAAAACTTTATTTACAAAAGCAAGTGGTGGGCCAGATTTGGCCTATAGGCATTTTTGTGACACTAGCCTTAAGCAATCAAAGAAAAGGAAGGACTCAAAAGGAGAAGTAAGAGGTAAGAAAACACCCACACTTGATTGGACAATGTTCTTGCCAGCTTCCATCCATTCCTTCATTTTATCCTCACAGCAGCCAAGTAGTTACAGTTTTATCATCCGCATTTTAAAGATGAGGAAACTACATTCTCTAGAATGTAAGAAAATTGCCAAGGCCTAACAGTGCAGGTTCAAAACCAGATCTGTCTGGCTGTAATGCCTCTCTTCCTCTCTCTACTCCAAGCTGATGCCTGCAGACACATTTGTCTTATGCAACCAGCAAGGAACGTCCACTGGAACCAGAGTCATTAAATTCCAGATTTGGCAATAAGGGTGGAAGTGCCAGAGCAGGGTCTCCAGGGTCTCAGAAGATTCTCTGAGAAAGTTAAAGCAATGGAGGGAGTGGGCAGGGTGACCGCTGGGTCCACCACCAGCTTTCACAGTGAGACCAGCCCTAGCATCCGGCATGTGGCCCGTGTGGACCTGTGCCGTTGGTGGCCACACAATGCAATCCCTCAGACAGGACAAGCCAGAAGATTCTGTGAAAATACGTAAGTCCTTTGTCCTTTCCTGGCTGAGTGTGCAGGCAGGCCATCTGATGCAAAAATGCCCAGTGCAAGCAATGGCCAAACCCGTAATTATTAAACTTTCTTGCTAAGAGTTACTCTAGCCTTTTTCTCTGGCTATGCATTCAAATTAAGTTCAGAAATAACTCCCAGGGAAGCCCTGAGGTCAGGTTGGATTCAGCCCAATCTTCTCACTTTCTGCGTGATGGTACAATGATAATTCAGTTCTTAATGATGACTGAATCATCCTGATCCTGAATCATCAATGATTAGCTTATGTTCACTAAACATCTAGTCTTTTCTAAAGCAATAAAATAGACTAATGCATTTTAGGAAGAAGTTATAAAAGAGTTTAAACCAAAACAAGTCATTCTAGCTAGGATGACCAGAGCATTAAGTTTACAGAGACACCACTTTCCCCCAAATGTCAGTGTTAATGGCTAGCTTAGGAAATTCCAGGATAATTCAAGACCAGTTTAATTTATTCCTGTACACAAACAATTTCGTGAAAGAAAACACCATCATTCAAATCAATAAATGATTTGGTTTGAGCTATAAAACTATAAACAGAGTCTTTGCAAAATGTTGCTTACTGTTCTTTCTTGCTATAAACCATTTGATTTTCAGCCAGAAAACATACAGCCAAATAATCACAACTGTATGCTTTCCTTAATACTCAGTGTAGACTGTTATGTAAGGAATTGAGTGTTCATCATCAAAATCATTGTAAAGACAGCAAAATACTTAGAATTCCTAAGTTATCATTTATTTCAACATTCAGAGGTGAAATTGACCCCAGACAATACACAGTCTTTCTTCTTGCTGTAAAAACGACCTCAGAGTTCCTTGGATTCTCAACTACCAGTTCCCCTGTCAGAACTCCCTGATTCCTCTTGCGAGCCCCCACCCACCTCAAGGCAAACCATTTGCTCCAGAAATGAGCACCAAAAGGCCTTATGCCAGACCACAGGTGATGATTATGACCCAGAAAGGTGGGCCAGGGTGGAGAGCATGTGAAACAAACACAAAGGTGCAGAAAATTTTGACTTGATTTTTCTCTAATTGAATTTAATTCCTATCTGCCAGGATAATTGCACTGATGGTACCAGGATAATTGCACTGATGGTAAATAAAAAAAAAAAAAAAAACACTTGACTTTGGTCAACTCAAGTTTTCCCCCAACCCTCCTGTCTCCAGAATTTCCCTCCAGCTTCAAGGATAAACGTAGCATTAAGGAGAGGGATCTGGGTCCTGATGCTTGCGTCTCATCCTCGGTCCATGCATTCCATGCCTACTGGAAAGTCAGTTCATGCAGATCATGCCTGAACCCTGGATCCTCATTGTCCTGACCACAGATCTTTCTGGGCCAGTTGGTTCTCACTGTTTGTCCTCACCAATCAGCCTCCTAAAGAAGATTGTGCTGTTCCTTGCTCCGTACAGAGGGTCACAGGATTGCAGAGTGGGGCTACCTCAAGCTCCCCAGCTAAGACACCTAACGGAGCCACTTTGATTTGCAGCTTCATTCCTTGTCCAAGGATGAGTCCCTGACTTCTCTGAAGTTGGACATTCCAACATAACCCATCCCACTCCAAGAGCACAGCGCAGAAGAAAGAGGTAGCACTCGGGGCCCCTCTGAGGACCCCACAACGGCTACTCATGCTGAATTTTCTACCTAACTCACCCTAGACCAGGAAATTTTGATCTCTATGGAGAAACCAATCAGGCTTAACAATAGTCTTCCAAATCTGTTTAAGTTTCAACCTCAGCTTTGAAACCCGAAAGAAAAAATATTAACTTGTGTTCCTCTTGAGATTCCTACTCCACCAACTCTACCTAAGAATGCTCTTATCTCAAAAATTCAGGGAATATTAGGGGTAACCAAACATACTTAGGGAAGGCAATAAATTACTATTTCAAAATGGTATCGATCAAAAAAACCGCATATATTAGACTCTTATTGATATGCTTTTGAAAAATATTTCTGCTGTAACCTTATAGCAGCTCATGTATCTCCTTTCAACAAAACAGTAAAGTGCGTAAATGACTGCGGTTGATGTTGAGGTTGGTATTCAGGGCTGGGGCAGGGGTTTAACATCCATAAGCATGAAGAAGGTAAGCCCCAAGTCAGTCGGAAGCAGGGAGCTGGACGTGAGTCTTCCACATAAAGCAAGAAAACTCTAAAGGCCATCTCACTTGTGACATGAGAACTAGAAATTCTGGCCATCAGTTCAAAGAAACTTAGCTTAAGCCCTGGATTCCAGGTAAATCCCATTTATCCAAAAGGCATAACTCAACTTAAAATGGAGACAGTCCTGGAGAGTGGAATACTCAAAATCATTAACTCTGAGGGCCTGAAATAGAATGCAATGAGGAAACCTCAAAAAAGGGGATAGACGGTTTGGCTCAATGTATAGAGTTGATGCTCTATCATTAATTGAAGTTCAATTCCCCTCAAGGGCACATGCCTCGGTGGCAGGCTCCCAGCCCAGGCCATGTGCGGAGACAACCAATCAATGTGTCTCTCCCATCAATGTTTCTCTCGTCTCTACCCTTCTTTTTCACTCTCTGAAAATCAGTGAAAAATGTCCTCAGGTGAGGATTAACAAAAAAAAAAGGGGGGGGTAGGGGGATAAAAGAGGGGATAAAAAGCTCCAAAGACACATTTCAGCTCTGTCACCATTTGATAAGGGCTGGTCCAGAGCAGAACATTAACACAGCACGTGGGGAGGGACTAGCAGCCTGAAACAGTTGTATAGCAGCATTTTCTCTTGCCTGTGCCTCTGGCTTTATTGACCCAGTGAGACCCCTTATGTTTTTCAGAATGCCGAAGCAAGTTATGACTTCAGTAGCAACGACCCCTATCCTTACCCTCGATACACAGATGACTGGTTTAACAGGTAAACTGGGCCTCATGAGGTGTCTTTGGCTTTAGGTTTGGGGTTTTATTCTGTTTTGTTTTGTTTGTTTTGTTTTGTTTTTAAGGCTTGAAAATCACAAGCAAAATAATCTCAGTGCTTCACTAAATTGTATTGTGACTTTTCCTTTGTGTGGCTACATTCTCTAAATTCTTGGATTTTTTTTTCTAACATTGCAATGCTCCTGTAGAATTATCTGTTGAACTAGGAATTGTTTGGCGCTGTATTAAAGATAGAAGGAAATAGGAATAAGAAGAAAGCCTGTCTGGACCCACCAAAGGGTGATTTAAAACATGCTGATTTCACTTGATCTGTGGAAACGATTGTAGAGAACTTTTTTTGCCCCACGGGTCTGTGTCTGTATGTTTTTGAAAAGTGTTTCTGCTGTAACCTCATGTAGGTCATGCAGTCCCTTTTTCAAAACAAAACTGGCAGAGGTCTGAAGTATTGCCCAGCATGGAAAACTATCCAACATCTACCTATTTTCTTTAGTCTATGTGGCTACTACACATGTAAATGCAGCCTCCTTTTTCCCCCAAGTAACATTCTTGTCTAAATGGTTAATTACATATAAGAAATACCAAGAAATAAAGATGTATGGCTTGCTCAACCAAAGACTGCTATACTTTTTAAACCTAGTGCTTCCCTATTATTGATGTTCTTGGGTGAAATTTATGAGAACATATGAATTTCAATTAATGGTATAAATAATGTGTACAGCACCTTATTCATTTCTTTTACTTCTGGTGACAAACTCATGGCCCATAAAAAAATGTTGTAATTCTCAGTTTAGTGATAAGAAAATAGGTTTAGAAAGGAAAAGTGACTTCCCTGGTCAAACAATTAGTATATGTCAAAGTCCACACTTGAATCCAAACTTCATAAATGACCCTAATTCCAACTTTTACCATCCTTTTATAAGCATCATTTTTATTATAAAAGACAGGAAGTATTATGGTCAGAGAGTGGCCAGGTAGCTTAGACTCTGTTCCTATAATTAACAAGTTGACCAGAGAATGTCTAGGATGCAGGCAAGGCATACAGGTTGAGGGGCTTGGCAATTACGGAAAATGCAGGGAGTGGGGGGGAATAATTCAAATTTGCAACATTTTTTTAAAGATCATAGCTGATGTCCAATAGCACAATTCACTCTCTGTCAACTTTTTGCCTACAGCTTTAAAATTATAATGCAGTATTTGGAAGTGTGTTTAAGGGGTGAGGATGTATTAAAACATCTGAAAACTTCTGACATAACGTGTCTCTTACCCCCATGACTTATAATCCTAGCATACTCTTAGCAAATAAACCATTTTCTGACACAGGGATGTGACATTACTAAATAGATGTCACTAAGCCAGGGTTGAGCTGTGGTTGGAAATGATGGTCTGGAGCACTGTGTTGAGAAGGACCATGAGGGAGTGCCTGGCTTCAGCATGATTGGTTACCAATTGTCCACTCGACCTCAGAAAGGGCAGTAGCAACATGTGTGCCAGCTATTTGCCATCTCTCTGCAGCTAGTAGGTACTAAATTTACCTTTGATAGAATGATTCAGGCACAAAAATATAACCGACAGAATGGCTTTCTCCCTTACCCCATTTTCTGAATCCAGCACAACCCTCCCCAAAGCAACTCTTCCTGTATGATATACCATAAGATTATTCTTTTAAAAAAATGATGACTCCTACCATAAAATTGTTAATTTTCAAATGTGTTCTTGAAAATACAATTTTAAACTAGTTAAAATCTTCTAGCTAGAACTAATTAGTATTTAGTGCAATAAAATTTTTCATTGTCACTGGTAAAAATTCTCAAGTGTCCAATTGTCTGAGACACAGTCATAGTGAGTCAGATGAGCATGATCTTTGCCTCTTAGGGAGCCAATGACTC